TTTCTCTACTAAACGGCTTCTAAACGGCCGATGATTCACCACTTCACGGATTCTTCCGAATGATACTCCGGAACAATAACAAACTGTTTTGAGTCCTTACACACTTAAAACAAACTGTACTGCTGAAATTCACTCAGATACTCACTTTGTGAAAAGCGTATGATTCATCGTCAGATGACGTAACGTCTGGTTTTCACATCAGAAACAGTTAGATCACTTTAGATTGCATAATGCTAATTACACTTGTCTTTCACATATTTTTTGCAAAAAGGGATTACATCGATCGGCTATTTCATGGAATATCATTATTTTAGATATTTAAAGATAAATCTGTACATAAGTGTATTTTCGAACATTTATAGATTTTTTCTGAGTCAGCTTTCGCATTTTTTAACCGTGTTCGCTCATGTTATTCGGGAGACTTGAGCCAAAACTTAGTAAGACATTATGCTGTGAGTTGCATAATTAAATTAGCTTGACTTTTATGTTCTGTTAACCTCATAAAAGGCAGTGGCTCGTTCTGTAATTACACGAGCCTTGTACGCTGTTAAGTTGAAGTTTTAATATAAAGATTTATTCTAAACCTTCTTAGGTGTTCTTTCCTTTAAGACCTAAAATGGAGAGGTAAGTTCTCTGATTATCTACAAAAGCCAGTATTAACATTTAAAGTAAATTACCTCCCGCATTCTTTTTAGATAAGTCTCTTTTAAGCCGCTAATTACTGTTATTGTAATACGTTCTTCTCATTCCCATGTTAACAGACATGAGCCTAGATATTTTGTTTTTCTCGATACATAAAAAGGATCTGCTCTGTTAATAAAAGATTCAACAGCCTGAGAAAAGCCAGCAACCTATCCTCATCTGAATTCCGATATAAGGCAGAGTTGTTTATATTCGTAAACGGGGCAACTGAGTACACCTTTTATTTTTATTATAATACGAGCGAAATTCCTCTAGCCTGTATTTATTAATGTACCATAGCCTAACATAAATTAATATGAGCTATAGATGTCGCCCAAAAATACAGATGTTTTTCTCTCTTAAATCAGTAAAGTACTTGTTTGTTTAAAAATGGATAACTATAAAATTAAACAATATAATTTAATGCAATAAAAAGCATTTTATAGCAGGCTTGTTAATAGTTCTGTTCTTGCCCCATTGCACATGAAACGAAGTTTTTGAAAGTACATATTTTTAACTATAAGGTTACGTTCTTGCCCAGTTTTCCGTTGGGTGTGCAGAGTAATTGGCATTTTGTACAATATCCTATTAAAATGAAAATTTTCAAGAAAAATTAGAATTCCACGTGAATATTAATTTATCAGTAATAACTGCGCAAAGCGTTTGATACCGACAGCGTTAAATACTTATATACCAGACAGAAGATACACAGGTTTAAATTCCAACTTTACAAAAATTATTCTATACTTAAACCCACTTCACGTTATTAATATTTATGTCTTACAATTCTCAGTGTTTGTAGACAGGCTCTGCTGAGGCTGGTTATTGGTTAAATCCGAAATCATTCAAGATTCCTAATCAAATTTGCGTGTTCTGAACTGAAATTTTAAATATTCGGCAAGAGTTTCAATTTCATCGTCTACTTCTTTTGTGTAATCAGCATATTAAATAAATGAAACATATATAGCATATACATAGCATATGAAGTAACTAAAAATCAGTATGTTCGTAGGAAAATTAAACAATAAAAGTTTCATAGATAAATGGGACAATTAATTTTTACTATCTTTTTTCTATATTTTTCAGATGTCAATTTAACAATTTTACATTGAGTTCGTTTATGTGTATATGAGGTAATACTGAAAAATGAAAAATGCTCTGAATAAAGTTAAAGGGAGAGTAAAATACTAAAATACCACAAAAAGAGTTAAGCATAGCGAAATATAAATTTAGATACTCGATTAGAAAAAAAAAAAAAAAAAAAAAAAAAAAAAAAAGACTATAGTCTTTTTTTTTTTTTTTTTTTTTTCAAATCGAGTACTATTTTTCTATAAATTAATACGAAGTATTTTTTGCTCGGTTTTCATACTGTGAGGAGACCTTTGGGGGACACGATTTTTTATAGCACATTATTGTCACCATTTATCAGCATGCCTAGTTTATTCAAATGTTTTATATCTCGAAAGATGCGCCGCGTATCAGAGTGACAATGCATCAGTATGTATGGTTTTGTTTTAATTAACCAGTTATCTTATACTTTTGGTTTTTCTATACTTCTACTTTTATCGACTTCCAACAGGATACAAATTAGTTTAAAATATAAATAATTGTCAAGTTTAAAAGTTTATCAAAAAGGTTTGGCAGTTTATGTTTGCTGTAATTTTACTTTAATTTTCTGCTAACTTGCGATTTTTCTTTGAGAGTAATAAGTCAGAGGAGAGCCATACTTTACTGGAATTGCGAATTATATTCGATTTAACCTGAATTTTCGTTAAGACTTTGTTATTCTACCTGCAAGCTAACGGCCATTTTGTTTGAGTTAATTTCAGTTTGCTTAACCGTCAAGTTAATATGCTCAATAAATATTTTTCTTTGGCTTTTATTTCTAGCTACAAGTGAGACAGGACAAAACGCCTTCCGATAGTCTTTTACGGTTACTTTGGCGAGTTGGAACTTTTACAGTACCATAATTGTGCACACCGCAAAACTGGTGAAGCTTTATTTAATGAGCATAAAAATAAGCTTCATCATCTTTCATGTCCTGCTTAACTCCCTGATCGCCCAATTATTCATGTGTTTGGAATACGCTGTTGAGGGCAGAACTGAAAACATCTGATGTGGGTGTCGCCTAACCTCCCTCTAATTCCATATTTTAAACAGCAACACGCTTTCACTTCAGGTTGATCGCTTGTAAATAAAATTTTATTTGTTTGCAAACTTTATGGGTCAGTATTAATTATAAACACTCAAGTTTTATTTTATTCTTTTCTCCCATACAATGGAAAATTATAACTATACTTGCTTATGTACACATCCGTTCTCATGCTTTGATTTGGAAATATCGCATCAGTTGTAGTATGTCGTCTAGTCACATAGAATTTTGGATTCACAAATTAGTGACTTAACAACCACATAATTTTTCAAAGCATCAAATTTTAGAATTCCCAATAGAATGTTAAACGTTGCCATATATTTCTCAGTCTTTTCTCAATTCATGATATCAATGTTCAGTTTTCTTAATAATTTCTTAAAAATGTATATAGGTTGGAGGGAGGTAAAAACATTTTGCGAAACAGTTGCTATTGTATCGTTCACTTGTATTGGTTATTTCCGAAAAGAATTCCTATAGTACATAAAAGTTACGACTACTGTCACTTTCACTATGTATTATGCAAAGATTATTTTCCCTATAGAGATCCTTTAAAAGTAATTTAGCTCTGAAGCATCTTTTTTTAAAGCTTACTTGTTTACACATACTTTCAATCTCCACTGACCACCATGGAACAACATACAATACAAATCAAATTTCTCCAGAGCTAGTGAGAATTGTTTACAGTACAGATTATTTAACGCCGTATATAAATAGTAGTTATTTAGAGTCAAATTCATCCTTTCAAATACAGCCTTCATCACATCAATGACTGAAATTAACTTTGGGTTTAGATAACAAACAGAATGTTTATTCTTTTAATGTTGAAAAGATTGCTTTTCAAGAAGCATGAAAAAGTATTTCATATATATGGCTTGGAAACTTTCAAAAGGAACCGGATTTCCCGAAAACACTAGTTCTAAATGCTGTAATAACAGTAATGACTCACTACGTGGCAAAAGAAATTAATCTGCAAGCTTCATTGTCTTTTATTCTGAAATAATGAAAAACCTGCATGTTTTTACCTCACATTGTGACACGATGACGCCATCTAGAAGTACAAATTTTTTAATACACGTAGTCCTGCATTAAAAGATGTGCACCTCGATGCTCGAAATTTGGATTTTAAATCTGTTTCTCTTATTTTATATTTCATGCAAACTTAATGAATTTTTTATTAAAAAATTCCGCAATTTAAGCGGAATACGTTGATGCTGATAGAAGAAAAATACTTTTATCTTAGCGTATTAGTTGTATTGTTATTCCGCAAAACGTAAGATATTTATTTTTTATCTCTCAATTTCATCAACAAACTCAATGATTTTAATGTGTTATCAATGTGCGAAATAAAATAGCTTTATCTTCCACGTGCCAGTGTATTGATATGCGAAAGAGTAAGTTACTTATCTTTCAAATTTAATCTGCTTTTTAGTAACAGATTAAGCCATTTAAAAGCAATATACGCAACCCTTGGTAATATATTTTTTCCCTTTTTTAATAATATACCTGGTTGATTTAAGTGAAAATCTATTTGATTCCTGATATGTCTAATTCATAAATTTTATGAAACTTTGATTTTTTTAATTTATAAAATACTTTTTTAATGCAGTATGGTACACAATTTATGAAGAACCCTTTTGAAAATTTTAATTTCCTTTCACAATTTCGTAAAACCAAATTTGTTCAAATGTTATACTATAATCTGAAGACTTTATATTCAGTGTCTTGCCTAGTTGATTCCGTGGTAATAATTTGTACGAGAAGCAAAATTCCCAAGTGCACTGAGGGAGGGGTTTCAAAAATGGACCAATGATCTTCTATTTCTGTAGTCTCTAAGACGCTGGATCTTTGAAACTGCATATGAGCATATGTTGTTGTTTAGGTCTCATTTTGTTTTTGTTTCGAAGTTATAATGTATAGCGTATAAAAGCTGCTATCATTTGAGCAGAAAATTTCGTAGTGCTTTCAATTTAACAGCTTGCATCTATATCTTTTCTTGAGACTAATCAAAACGCTTTGGTCTATTGGGCATAACGCTGTGACATTGGGTGGTAAAAGGTTAAAAAAACTCTTCAATGTCTGGTTGCGAAAACGCGTTGTCCTAAATCAGAATTGCCTTCCTTGGCAAGTTTTGGATTTGAAAAACCGCTAAACCGATGGAACTAATACTTCATGGAACCATATTTTTAATACTGCACAACTCATCCAGGAACTTTGGGTTTAGATAACAAACAGAATGTTTATCCATTTCAATGTGCTTAGACACACGTGGTTTCTTTAATTTTCCTGTGACACTAAATTTTAATTTGTGGTCACATGTTGCATTACTGCAAGGATTGTTACCCTTTCCTTGCTCCTTTAAAAAACCAGGGGCTGACTGTTCTTCCTTGAAAGGAAGACTTTTTGTTGGCAGTAGTTTATAATTTAAGCCTGTTTCACCACAATTATGCAACTGCTCTACAGTCAAGCTTTCAACTTTGATAAATTTCTGAAAGTTTACCTTAAACTGAGACATACTCTTCCTGCCCCCAAATAGTTTTTCCCCACAAATACTAAGATGTCGCACTCCATATTGTTTCTCCCAGCGATCAAGCCAGCCAGTGCTTGTGACAAATTTAGGATCGTTGCCATTTTTTAATACTTCGTGAAATTTCAAAGCCTTCTCTTGCAAGATTGGCCCACTAATTGGCGTGCCCTTCTCTTTTGCTTGGCGAAACCATTTGTAAAGCGCCTCATTAAACTCACTTGTCTTCATATTTTTCCTTTCTTTCAATGTTTCTGCACACATTCTCTTAACACGCCACTATTCAATTCCCGTCCGCTGCTTCTTTCAGTATTCAATCCTACTTTTGCCAATCCTTAGCCACTGCACTAACACTTTCTCCAATATCCAGTCTCTTTAATGCTCCCAACTTTTGCTCCGTAGACAAGTTCACTTGTTTTCTTTTAACTGAAGATTACTGTCCAGCACGCACAAACTTTCAAAACAGCTCTGAACATTATAGTACAATCACTCACATCGACTTACGCAACGCGGCTAAAAAATCGACTAACCCTGGCAAAGGCTGCAAGTAGACTTAAAAGCTGAACGCGCACCGGCACCAGTCACGTGTTGGAGGAGTAGGAATGTGACGCGAGACAAAGGACACATGCCAGAGGAGGCACTGCACACGCACGCAGACAGTAACCTTGAATGGGTACGCCCGCGGGGTTTCTTTGACCTGCCAGGCTGTGGTTGAGTTATCCGAACTGCTGGGTCATCGAGTACCGAGTTTTCAGAACCCTACTGTATTATAGAACATCTTTTCCATATAGACTGCAATAAAAAATGCGGATTTCTACTATTTACAAATGATTATGGTTATATTTGATCGAACTTTGCATTCAAAAATTTCACAGGAAGTCCACGATGCTTTAATTATTTTGTACAGAAAATTGCGTAGCAAAGCATTTTCAACCACGTTGCTTAAAACGCGGCAAAGGTTATATATAATATGATATAAATATTACTAGAATCCCATTGGTCCATTATAGATGCTACTCCCTCAGTAGCAATACAGATGTGCACTTACGATATATGCGTACGGAAACTCTTCAGTACTCATCATGCATACATGTCCGTCCTACCTATCCTATACCTTATAATAAGCTCCTTTCTTGATCTTTTTTAATCTTTCGCAAGGTTTATAATAGAATCGAATGGCCATCAAATGTCAATCTGTAGTAAGAAATAAAGTTTACAATTACTCATATGCATACATACGTACTTGTATTTATGCGAAAATTTTTAGTTTAAACTCAAGTAAATTATTTAAAGACTAATTAAGAATATTAAACCTATTTTAAATAAATGTCATTTGAAAATTTTAATAATTAGCTATCAGAATATTTTAATAACAATGTGTAACCAACAAAAACGTCTTGCAGATACCAAACGTTAGTTTCCAGGCAGAAAACAAATATAAATTTGAATTTTTTCCGTGACGATATTATTATTATTGTTTTTGTTTAGGTATGTTTATTGCATATTTATTTAGCAGAATTTAAAAGTCATTTAAAGTATTTTTAAATTTGTTTATAAAAAATTTTCATTAAAAAAATTTGCCCGCCAGCTGTTTTCAAATCTTGCATTCAGCATGCATGCGATTTAAGTTTGAGACACTGCTTTAGCAGATCCTACTGTGTCACGAACAAAGCCGAAGAACCATTGATCCATTGAGAAAAAAAGCTTGAATCAGTTCTGCAGTTCCATTCGAGTTCTTTCTTTGAGCTTTGAGAAAGCACTCTGTTCAAGGTTCATATTCATTCAAAATTGTAAATCCGTACATTAGACAGAAATGGCATGTTAACCAATCTTTATGTATGATTCAGCAGTCTTAATATGTTATAATTACAGTTGATATTGACATCTTTTTTAGAAATGTGAAAATGATTGATGAATCGCACAGAAAATATGAGTTATCAATTATTTTTAACACTTTTTTGTAAAATGGTCCACTTTTTTCGATAGGATACAGCAAACAAACTTTTTGTTCCTTCAAGTTCGTTACAGCGGGCGTGGACTCTAAATGTTACTTCAAAAAATTATTTAAAAAGATGTTTTTAAAACTTCAGACTTTAATTTCAAAAAATTAATAAGAACAGTGCAATTTTTGCACCAACTAAGAAAAAAAAAAAAAATCTGAAAGATTTCAGATTTTAAATTACGTCCAAAAGGGCATTTTTTTTTTAACATTTAACATTTTTAATGTTTTTTAACATTTGTGTTACGTGTTATATTTACGTGTTTGTGTGTTACCTTTATTTATTAAATATCATGTTCTTCGCAAAAAATTCAGTTCAAGAGCAATATCGCAAAATAATTTTAAATTGAGCATATTTTTAGAATTTCCGATACACAGTCTCAGGCGCTGGAGATAAAAATTATTTTCTGTATAACGTTTTCACTGCTCGTTTTGAAATGTTTGAGTTTATTAATCAAAAATTAGTTACAGTTTTACAAAATATGAAATCGATAATGAAACAAATTCCAAATTTCAAATTTGGCCTTCCAGATGCCCATATTCCCAGTAGGATTACATCATTCAAAATTTAATGCCTCTAGGTACCGTTGTTTTATCACAGTGTGAGAAACATACATATACTTATGCAGATGTTTCATTAATTTCTTCAAATATAATACCGGGCGGTAATATTTGTTGGCAACAGTTTGAAAAGTAAAACGAATATTCAGAGTAATTCCACGCAAAATCGCAAAACGAAGACAATAGTCCCTCAGGGACAAAGCCCCTTTGAACTAATAATTTATAGGTATATGTTAGCGAGAAAATATATGCAAAGAATTACCATTTTCAAACATTTTTGGTACATTTATGTGTTATATTTACGTGTTTTATTCAAAGATCATGTAAAAACTACATGTAAATTTTATATAAACTAGCGGAAGTACACGATGCCAGTTAAGTTAGATTGAGAGTAAAACTTAAAAATTTTGTAAAACTTAAAAAAATTTTGATTAACAAACTCTACGATTTGAAAGCGAGCAGTAGCAACACTTTTCGAAATAAAACATTTTTATCTTCAAAGCGCGAGACTGTTGCCACTCGGAAAAATGAGTGCGAAAATTAGCGCTTTCAGACTTTTTAATTAGTATTTCGGCTGTACGAAGATGGGCTGTAAGTTGTACGAAGATGGGAATAGTCAAAATGGCTTCCCACGAATTTTTGTAATAGGGAATAATGTATTTGATGTTTCGCAATGCTATTTTTATTTCATTGCAAAACTTAGAATTTTTTTATTAACAGACACTAGGATTTGAAAGCGAGCAGTGGCAACAACTTTCGAAATAAAGCAGATTTTCATCTCCAACTTGCGAGACTGTTGCTACTCTGAAAAATGAGGGTCAAAACTCTCGTCTTTCCGAGTTTTTAATTTAATATCTCTGATTTTAGCTACTTTTTAGGGGGATAAAGTGGACGTCGACCTTTTCCAGGACCCAGAAAAGAATTGTAGAAAGTTTGGTGACGTTAGCTATAGTTGTGACAGAGTTATTAGAGAACAACCAAACACACATACTTCCTTCTTTATATCTATAGATATTTGACCGCGTCAGTATTGAGCAAAATATAATTGTAGTTAACCAAATTATGCAGTTTTTACCAAATTTGCAACTATACTTATAAATGAGTAAGTATAGTTGCAATGCAGATGCAGTTTCACTAATTACAACTACATTATAATCGCGATATATAATTACTTTTACAATGCAATCGCAATTACACTATAATCATAATTACAAAGTAATATTATAACTTAATTGCAATTGCATAATTATTGAGAAATCTGATTATAATATTGTTACAGATTTGGTATTTAGTTTGCTATTTTTAGTTAGGATTATAATTAAAATTGTTTTATCTCTCCGTGCAATGCAGCACGAGACTTATTTTAAGAGAAAGCTACGCCGGGAAATTAAAAATACAGGAGCACGCGCATTTAACATTTAATGAATAGATATCTCGCAGTTCTACTCTTTTGCTTTCCAGAAATCTCCAGAAAACAGAAATTACCAGAACATTCTCGTCCACGATTAAAAAGCTTTAAAAAGGCAGGAGAGAAACATCTCACTTCAGTTGTTTACTTAGTTGTTGATGACTGTAGTGAATTTGCGGTGAGACCGGATTAGCTTTCTCTGCGTTTTGGATCCCGTACGCACGCAACAATATAATTGCAATTCTGTTAAACTTGTAACTACGAAGTAATTGTGTAATCTAATTACAATGTAATTTCAATTTTATAACCTAATTACAATTACATTATATACAATTACATATAAACTAATTACAATTACTGATTGCAATTATATAATCTAATAATTACAATATAATTTTGATTGTAACTGTAGTTGCAATGCAACTGTATTTCAGTAAGTAATTACAAATACGTAATTTAGGAAAGGTATAAGGTATTTCTCCCGTCTTTTTGGCATGCTTTCGTGGTGTGGTGGTCTTCTGTTTCGATTCCCGGCGAAGGCGTTGCTCATTTTTCCTCTTGCCTGCTTCCAAAAAATTCTACTGTCTCTAATCATCCTAATGTCAATGATCACTATTTTAGATGGCGAGTTTTTAAATATTACATAGGGATAATCGCATGTAAAAATATTATTAACATGATTCATTTGGAAGCATCCTGCTCAAATTTTCCGTGTACTGCAGCTTGTAATAGCAACATAAATTTTAACTAATTCTTTATTAAATGCTACACATGTTTTCAGTAAATGCATAAATGAAATACAGTTAAAGTCTGCTGTCATATAGAACTCATATAATCTAATTACAATCAAAATTAATTGCATATTAATTAAATTTAAACTTAATTTAATTATTAAAATAATATAATCATTTAATATAATAATTAATTATAAAAAAATTTAATCATCTAATAAATTTATATTATTATATGCAATTATAAACTATATTTATTATTATAAATAATAATAATTTAATATAATAACTAATTAATATAAAAATTTACTTAATTATTAAATTTAATTTAAATTTAATTTAAATGTCAAATTAATTAAGAGTTCAAAAATATTATTTACTTACGAGTGATTGCACCTGTACGATGTACTGAGTTCGAGAGCTTCGAACGTATTGCTTAAGCAAATATATGTGTTTATGATGTTTGCCAACAGATATACGGATTTGAATTATTTGAGAAAGAGAAAGGAAGCAAACTATATGCCTATGAAAAGAGATTCTTTTATGGAGAATTTGTTGAGGGAACTGGTCTTGGTATATTATACAGAAAAACCGCCGAAGTTTCATTTAGCCTTACCGCTTGAATTACATTTTTCCAGCTTAGCTGATAGAAACATAACTCTGATCCAAAATCATCCTGCTAAATTGTTTTGTGTCCTAAAATTTTCAGTAACTGTATTAATTTCAAAATAGCTTATTAAACACAATACATATTTTCGTTAAATAGTTAAAAAGATATTATTTACTTACGAGTGATTGCACCTGTACGATATATTCAGTTCGAGAGCTTCCTGTACGAGACCTTTAGGTAAAAATAAAACAAGCATAATAGATGTCTGTAGATGATAGTTCCTGCACCATTTTGGGTGCAGAAGATTATATTATATGGATTACAGCAAAGCATACAAAGATTGAGTTATAATTATATGTTATAAGCACACACAGATTTCATTGTTCCTGCACCCTTCCACCTGCAAAAGATTAGTTTATATAAATTACGGAAAAATACAGACTATCTGACTGAGGAGAGAGATGCTTTTGTAGAGTACTTTCTAAGGGAAATTGGAAGGTATTCACATTACAATAGAGAAAACCTACGAAAAGACTTATCCCGCCAGCCCGTTTCTCCGAGATTTAAAACCAGTATCAAACTAATAATATTAACGATTTTACTGCTCGGCTTCTGGTGGATAATGAATGCAGAAAAAATGGCCTTATATTACATCCGAGATCATCCTGCATAATTATTAACCGAAGTCTAACTTGCAGTAATGATATAACTATGAAACAGACCTTAATTAAATACTAGCCGCTACGCGACCAGCCTTCGTCTCGCTTTTAAGTATACTGTAAAAATGGCTAAAGAGAACACCAAATATTAAATTTAAAAGGTAAGTAGAATTTTACTCTGCAGAACAACAAAAAAAATAATAATAATGTATCACGTATTAAAAAAAATTACAATGAAAAAAGCAGTATCCTTTAATACGAATATTAATTATCCTAATAAATAAATTGATCAAATTCCTGTTGCAAAATCTTAAGAATTCAAATAGTATAAAGGAAGTTCAGAACTTCGTTTCCTAAAAAAAAATCATGCAAAACTTTTTATATAATTAAAACACAATACAAAAAAATCACAATGAAATAAGCAATAAATCTCATATTTTCAAGAGAAAATAGGCAGCAGTCCGATATCCAAAGCAATGAATGAAAAATGTGCCAAAACCATATTTCTAAAAGAATGAAACTATCGACAGAAAGCAATAACCAATCCAAATTGTTCTTTGCGGATGACATAATTCAAAATATACAAACCACTTTGCCATTAGCTAATAAAGAGAGAGAGAAGGAAAAAAAGGAAATGCTTTCTGTTGTGCCTCACGAGACACATGCGCATGAGAATAAGAACATTGTGTATGCTGCGTGTATAATTAACCAGTTAACTGTGATTGACGAGTATACTCGTCATGGAGAAGCGGCATGATTTTGTGTATTGACGAGTATACTCGTCATACGTTTAAAGCAGTGTAAGCAACGCGCGCATAAAGCAACGTAATAGAAAAAGAGAAAAGAAAAATAATAACAAAGAACCTTAGCTAATGATTGATTATAATAAAAAAGTGGATATGAGCGATAGAATTGTCAAAGCGTACTCCACAGCAAGAAAACGACTCAAAAAGTACTACAAAAAGATATTTCTCCATTTCTTAGACATTATGTGTCTAAATGCATTTATATTATATAAAAAAAATAATTTATTACGTATCAACCTTTTGCTCAAATTTATTGAAGAAACTTTTGCGATTTATCCATTTGAAAGAAAATAAATCGACACAAACTCGGCCATTTAGACCTAATACAAGCCAATTAGGCAGGAATCATGTTCCGGATTATATACCCGGAACATCGAAAAAAAACCCTACGCGAAGATGTTGGCATTGCTACAAACGTAAGATCAGGAAGGAATCGCGTTATTGGTGTTCGATTTGCAAAGTCCCATGTGTATAGTACCCTGTTTTGCTGAATATCACTCCACAGCAGGAATTTAAATTCTTACTTTTATATGTATAATATTTAATTTATTTAATTTATTGCGTTTTTAGTTTAATATGTTTGTAATATATGCTTTATGTTAACCAAATAAGTAAATATTAGTAATAAAAGAAACCCATGTTTTTCATCCAATATCTTACCAGCGCAACTTATTCTGTGATTGACGAATATACTCGTCATGGCTCGATTCTGGCGATACAAAACGGTGCGCACTCTTAAACGAGAGCACCACAGTTAACTGGTTAATAATATTTTATCTCATATTTTGAATAGTAAACAGTCCGGTATACAAAGCATTGAATGAAAAACTATTGCTAAAACCACATTTAAAAAAGAATGAAACTATTCAAAATGATGCGATTTCATCAAAAAAAAAATAATAATAATAAATGATTCGAATTTTGAAAAAAATCGCTTCGAAGCGCACTAGCCCCTTAAAAAATGGATACACCTGCTCGAAGTAGTTTCCATAGCTTCAAGTAGAAATAAACAAGAATAATTTTACTAAAAAGAAATTTATGAAGAGGACAATTGCCAGTAGAAAAATGGAATTATTTTCTATTCGAGACCATCCTGCATAATTATTGTGTGAAGTCCAGCTTGCAGTAATGATATTAAATATGAAATAACCCACATTTTCAATAAAATGTTAAAACATATTATTTTTTACAGGTGAGTGCACCTCCCCCAAACTAATTTCCATAACTTCAGCTAGAAATAAACGAACATAATATTATTAAAAAGAAGAGTTTAAAGGTGATAACTGCCGGCAGAAAAAAAAATGTGTTATTTTTCTATCTGAGACCATCTTGCTTAATTAATGTGTGAACTGAAACTTCCACTAAAGGTATTAACTATGAATAAGGCTTTTATTAAATACAAAGCATATTCGCAATAAACAGCTAATGTAAGCTTGTGCAGAAAATATTCCAGATAAAAATTAATACGTATACAATTTCTGAAGCAAAAGTATAAGTTGATTGTTTGTTTAACTGAACGTGGGAAAAGTATACAGAGGTAAGGAGTCATCGTGAAGGACTTTCTAAGGGAAACTGATGTTAAATATCTGAAAATTAGTGTTTTAATTATTTTTTTAAACTTTGAACTTTAACTTTGATGCCGGACAAAGCTAACTAAAAAAAAATAATATAATCCAAACAAATCTAATTCATGATATATCAAAAGATCAATCAAATAAACAATCGTATATCATATCTTATCAATCAATCGTATAGTGGTATTTGTTTAGTACAAGGGCACGTTTTGAAGCCCACTATGGAAAAATCAATAAAACTCCGTATTTTCTTAAAAGCCTCCCGACTCAAACAAATGGAGGGACATGACAAACCACAGTAAATTATACACTAAATTAAACAAATGAAACATAAAATATATATCAAACACATTTATTGATTTCTTGAATATATTATATTATTAGAAAATACTTGGGTAACTGATCAGCATTCCCTACCACATATTTTACTATGAAAAGTAACACATAATGTCACACGCAATTACAGCTTACAAAAAATTAATATACCTTAAGAAGAAAAATAACACATATCTCATTCCAAAATTAACATACTCATATTAATTTGTAAGTTTACTATTTTTGACATTCAATAGCTCACTAATTAAGCTGGTAAAACAAATCTTTAAACCTCTATTTACAGACTTTAAATTAACTGGTCATTATTCAAAATATTCTAATCATTTAGTAGTTTACATATATAAAATAAATGATTTTCGTTTAAGTAATTTGAAAAGATAGAGAGGTAGACAAATTTAAAATCACTCACAGATTTTATAATCTTGAGGCAAGTGTCCAATTTTTCTCACGGAAGAAGTCTATTTCCTTGAGCCAACACCTTGATCACAGTTAATAAACTAACACTCGCGCATTGAAGTCCATTCTGCACAAGAATACCTGGAAACGAGATGAAGTCCCTTTTGTAAAACTAACCGCCAGATAAGAGAAAAGTTCGTTCCTCAGGAACATATTTCTGTGTGGAACGTCTATGTGTCAGGTGCCGGATAGTAATAACAAATACTTCTACCTGGGAATGTTTATGAGTCTGGAACCTCAGGTGCCGGATTCTAATGACACATACTTCTGTTTGAAACTTCCAACTGTCAGACATATTCACTTCGGGAATGTCAAATTTTCGGTTTCCGAAGGATTATCTGGAGATTCGGGTGAAGAGGGAAAATCTGTAGTAAATTGCTCTTCACATCTATTACAAAATTTTTAATCATCTCGCAGAAAAAAAATGCCTCTTCTGGAGAAAAGTAAACGCAACTCCAACCCTCTTGCTCAAGCAGCCCGCAGCACGGCAAATCGATCACAGGGCAAACGCCGCTCGAACTTCACATCGCGACTGCTCAAAATCATTCTATATCAGACTCCAAAGGAAAAACCATAACCAGAGCCGCTGGTACACGTCACTAGCGAGAGCAAGACCCGCAAGGGGTCAAGCCCCCACTCTTTTCTCCTCTTACTCTTAGCTTGAAAATCAGAATCAGAATAATGAACTCTAGCCTGGTGCAAGCACCCAGGAAATCTCGGTTTCTCCACCTCTATGAGTTCATAGGCTTTCCAAAATATCACAAAATTAAAATCACACCAATGCCAGAATTTTACTTTATCTAGACTGAGAAAATGACACACCCATGACGAATCAAACACCAGAAATCTGACAATGCAGTCCAAAAACATCTGTATACACAACGTGAGAAAAAAAATGGACACCCCAACTAACAAGCGGAACTAAACTTTACGAGAATCCAATTACCTAAGCTTAGTTCAACCCTCCACTGTCTTGAAGTAGACAAATTGAAACTATAACAAAGCGAAAGAAAGACAATTTTCGTTTCAAACGCCATTAGTAAAAGGCGACAATAAAACACCCTACTGCCTCCACTGTTAGTAAAAAGCCATAAACAAATAAACCAGATGGCTCTTACAACCGTTTCCTATCGTTGTTACACTACACTTTCAAGAACTACCAGTTAAATAAGGCTTTAACAATTTAAAAATACTTTTTTCCAGATTAAAATATACATGAATACAAATAAAAATATTAGAATAATAATAACTTAAAACGCATATTAATAATTAAAATTCGCGACATAACACTGAATTGTATTCATGGAAGGAAATCCACGAAAATGTCCAAACATCTAGATTGTTACCCGGACTTTGAATCCTAATCGATCTACCATAATTTAAAAAAAAGTCTTAGCTACTCGGTTTCTGCTGAGCCAAATATTTTATTCTTTTGTAGTTATATTATAACTTTAAATAGCATTATATTACAACTGAACTTGTAGCTGCATTAGTTATATAGTTTTAAAGATAAAATAACTACAATGAATCACCAACTTCGTTTAATCAATAAAAGATAGTTTAAATTTTAAAGATCTTATGCTTTGCCGAATGACAGTCTTCTGAGAACCTGCTCACGCAAGAGGACATGAAAAGTTTAATTAAGATCTCATACTTCACGCACTGACAGCATTTCTTCCATCATTTTCAGAGATTATGTCATGTGTCTGATCATATCAATTCATGATCGTGTCTGAAAATTGTAGTTTCCGAGACTAATATTTTACATCGTAAGTAAAAATAATGCGCCGCTCTCAAGGTATAATAAGCCTCTACTAATAAATTTCATTCTAATTACATTATAATTCTACTTAATGTACATATACAGTATAATTATAACTACTGCTATAATTTTATTGCAGTTGAAATTGTAATGTAATTATAAAACGTGCAATTACAGTTGCATTTTATTGAATTATCTCCAATTACAATTACGTTGTAATTTTACAATTTATAATGCAATTACATTGTAACTGAATTAAATGTGATTGGAATTATACTGTGACTGAATCAACTACAATTGCAACTACAAGGTAATTTTAAGCTTTATGATACAATTACTTTGTAACTGAATTAATTGTAATTGCTCGATTTATAATTACTAATTGCATTGTAACTGAAGGATTTCCAAATTACAATTACAAGTAATAGCAATTAAATTGTAATTTAATTACTAATCAATTACAGTTGTAACTGAATCATATCCAACTCTGGATCACATGCTCTTAATTTTCTGATCATCGGTTTAGCAATGTAAATCTAAGGACAAGATTCCATTTTGTTTATCACACTGTTAATTCATGTAAAGCCAGCAACAAATTAATACATATGTAAATATTTTACTTTTTCTTAAATAATTTATCTTTTTGACTAAATTTTATTTTTTCTTGAATATTTTACTTTCTCACTGCATTTTATTTTTTAATCACATAAAAATATATATGTGTGTGTGTCTTCGTGTGTATCCTAAATATCACTTCATCCATGCTTAGCATATTTGACATATCTTAGAATTAAGCATGCAATTTCTAGCTAATGATTATCTAATATAAAGAAGTTACAAATTTACTTAAATACAGAAATCATTTACTTACTTATTATGATAAATTCTAGGTTGTATTCTTCTTGTTGATTATAGTTTTAGCTGGGTACAATTCATTAATGATGCAGCGGTATATACATTTTATATGCTTTTGCTGACTCTGTAAACGACTGAGTTGTTAACAGTACTAAATCCCATAATAACATTGCGTTAACATTGCCGTAAACTTATGTAAATTCTTTAGCGCACATCATTATCACTTCATTCATGCTTAGCATATTTGACATATTTTAGAATTAAGCATGAAATTTCTAGCTAACGATTATCTAATATAAAGAAGTTACAAATTTACGTAAATACAGAAATCATTTACTTACTTATTATGATAAATTCTAGGTTGTATTCTTCTTGTAGATTATAATCTTCACTGGGTACAATTCATTAATGATGCAGCGGTATATACATTTTATATGCTTTTGCTGACTCTGTAAACGACTGAGTTGTTAACAGTAATAACATTGCGTTAACATTGCCGTAAGCTTATGTAAATTCTTTAGCGAACATCATTTTGGGAATCCTCTTATTTAAAGAATGTTCTTGAAGAAATTGTGTGTTTTGATAAAATTGACGTAAGTGATCATGTGTTATTGGCAATGTTTTTTATGCTCTGTCACTTTCAATTGATTTGTCCTTCGCTCGATTGCTAGTTTCCGCTCGCCTTTGTAATCAGTTTTCCTTGACCTTTATACGTATTATCCTTATACGCAAGTACACGAAACGCAAAGCATGTTTTCTAAAATTTTACTACAATAATCAGATCTCTGTCTTTTTTTAATCTTATTTCAGGCATGTTGTACGATTCTTTATAGTAACATCAGTTCGTATTATCAGTTAATACAAGATAACGATTAATGGATGACATAAACATTTATGTTTCTGAAGCAGCAACGTTTCAGCGCAAAGTTTAATGCATAATAAACCATACTTAATGAATACTTTTCCCAATTATTTGAGAAATTTAATCATAGCTTAATAAAACATTTAAATAAAATACCAGGTCACGACTTTAATGTACTTTCTATGCAAATAAATTTGTTTTTAATATGGAACATTTAAGCTAGACGAACTCAGTTTTCAGTAAATAAATACTGAGGTGAAATAAACCAGCATATTTGTTTAATGATAAAAGAATTATTTTTGGTGTAAGACTATTATTACCCTTTGCAGAATGTAGCAAAATTAGAAAAAGAAGCTCACATTTCTTTAAAGCAGAAAATTCACACTGCATCCGAACTATAATTTCTACCGTGTCTAACATCAGATGAAACTGATCTTAAGCATTTTCTGTAAATTCATTTTCTGCCTTTGTCTGTCTATTTATTTGAGCAAAATACTGAAATTAATTTTCGGATTTACTAAAACTTTTTCAGCCATACATATTTATGGTGACAGTATAATAGTCTAAAAGAATGTTACCAAAATTCGATATATATGTTTTTGCTTCTTTGTACGAAGTAAAAGAAGTATTGTAATCGCGAAGCATTTCGGGTACTATACTATTTAAACGAAAATGTACATTTTGGTGGCTCCCGAATTCATTTGAGTGGCTTGCGTGACACATTTGAGTGACTTGCGTGACTTGATTTGTGTCATTTGCGTGACAGCTGCTCGTACGGACAGAATACACGACTCTTTCTTCCAGAACGGATAGTGAAATGGATTTAAAATGAATTCAAAAAGTGGTTGTTTTTGATGAAAATGAATATACGTATAGCTCATACACAGATAATAAAATGATTAAAAAAGCAAGGTCATGTACCTGTTCACGGTTCACAAACACCTATTGAGTGTTCAAATTAGTAGCTGGTCAAACCGCCCCTGGCGGCAATGCATACTTGAATTCGTCGAGGCAAGGCATGGTAAAGGTTCCTAATGTCATCCTTCGAGACACTGTGCCAGGCATTCATCAGTTGTCCTCCAGATCTGCGATATATTATTATGACCGAGTCTGGAGGCCTACCATGCACCAGATATGCTCGATTGGTGAAAGGTCTGGTGACCTTGCTGGCCAAGGAAGAGTATCAACCGCACGGAGAAAGTCCAGAGATATGCGAGCGGTATGTGGTCTGGCATTATCTTGTTGGAAAATGTCCCCAGGACGACGTTCCATGAAGGGTAATGTAGCCGGCCGCAGTATGGTATTAACATTTCATTGAGCTGTTAAAGATTAACATATCATTGAGCTGTTAAAGTTATCATTGAGCTATTAATCTTTAGTCATTAAAGATGACTAAAGATGACCTGCTATCATAAGAAATAGCGTCCCACACCATCACACCAGGGGTTATGGCTGTACGCCTTTGTAAAGCAAAGGCTGATTGGGACCGCTGGCCCCGTCTTGTCCAGACACGAACACGGTGGTCATCTGCTTCAAGAGTGAAGCAGAATTCATCGCTGAACATTAGACGATGTCAGTCCAATGGCAGTAATCATAATCGGCTGCGACACCACTCCGCCGATGTTGTGGGGTCAAAGGCAAACGTCTTAAAAGCCTTTGTCAGCGTAACCCCGCCTCACACAAGCGTCGTGAGATGATGGACGGTACCACAGAAAGTATAGACGTGACTGTAGTGCATTGAATAGTCGACAATGATACCGTTGGGCGGTTCGTGCCTGGCGAACAATCCTCCTATCTTGCCTCGCATTTGTGCTCCTTGGCCTTCTAGAGCCTTCATTTCGTCGGCAATTTCCTTGTAGCAGCCATTGCTGTCAATATCTTTGCACAGCAGTGTCTGTACGCTGCAGGTGGCGGCCTATTGCTCGGTATGGCCAGCCAGCTTCTCGCAACACTACAATGCGACCACGTTCGAAGTCGTTTAATTGTCTGTAAGGTCTTCGATATCATCGTAATGGCATCTTTAGTTCCTTCTCTACGGAATTACAGTGGCAGCAACAAAAAAGGATCATTTTTCCGCCTCTGTTACTGGTTTTATACTTTTCGAATTGCACACTACAAATGCGCGCTATGATCGCAATTTCTGTTGATTTGCCTTAAAACTTTGATCATTTGCATGTTCGATTATGATGTTTGTGCATACCAAATTTCGTCACGATCGTAAAAGTCCTTCTTGGTGCTTCGAATTTTTGCAAAAATGTGTATATATATAATGTTTTGGTAGGCAGGCACAGAAATGGCAAAGTATATATGATGATATAACTACATCAGAGTCCGGGCATTGTCGTGGCTGAGTAGAAGGCAGAAAAATGATGACAGAGAAGGCTCTCTCTTTTAAAGTTCCACATTTTTATTCAGTTCTCTTCACAGATCATTTTTCCTTTATATGAAATTCTCCAAATTACATATTCAATAATGATTTAAACTAAGTAAGATTAAGTTTAGACTTACTACATCATATAATTGTTCTAACAAAAGAAAGACAGATGGAAAGAGCAGCAGCAAAGTGTAGTAGCAGCAGGAGTAGAAAGCAGTCTGACGATAAATGGGGCGAACTTTGTATTTATACTAGCGGTTATATAACATGCCAGAATGTTCTCGAAAATACTGGTATAGGGAAAGATCCTGAAATTGCGGAAAATTAATTACAGGTTGCCTGTTCGCGCAAAGCACTTTTTTATATTTTACACACACACACACACATATATATATATATATTTCAACCCTGTCACCCGGCTCAATGAGCTCAGTAATCTTATATGTCAGTAAATTGTGAATTTTTTGCTTAATTTTTTGCTAAAATTTGTTGAACTATGTTGTTCTTATGTTCTGGTTGAGATTTTTATGCTTTTAGTTAATTTGCAGCAATAGTTGCAGAATTATCAACAATATAAAAGTTCAAGTGTGTTGTGTAGAATTTTTATGCATTATTTTACAGTGCATAGCGATTATATTGATTTACGTAGAATTTTTCTGTATTATCTTACAGTGATTAGTTAATACTATATTAATTCACTGTGAATAGTGAAATTTTAATGTTAATATCTGTGAGAATTAATTTTTTAATATACTATTGTTTAAATTCATTTTTCGTTTGAATACTGTAAAGCTCTTATTTAGCTAGCGGAAAGTCTTGTACAGCTAAAGGCGGGTGATTTTTTTTTTTTTTTTCGTTTCTCACTAAGCGACCACTTTGGGATCTAAAGTCAACCCCAGCTGACTTTTCCTTGCCTTATCTTTCAATGCTGAACACGTGTTTTGCTGGTTTGGTGGGGAATAGGTCTTAACAGGCGGCGCAACTGGACATAATTATGGGTTTAAAATATTCTATGTTGTTTGTGTGGTAAAATGGTATATTATTTTAAAAGAGGGGATTGATTTTCTTTCAATTTTGAAGGTTAGATATTCCCTTTGTTCTAGTTGGTTAGAACTAGTAGAACCTATTTTGAGCTAATAGTGATTACAGACACGGTGTGCCTTTTGAGCATTACCGAGGTTTTAAAAGTAGTTGCACGAGAGGCAAGTGCAGATGATTAGCAGATTTTCCAGACTTTTGCAGTTTTTTCACTTTTGAAAAATTTACAAGTGGAAGGGAAGAGCGAGCGGAAACGTTCGACCGTAGCCCAGCGGTCTCTGGGGGCCGACCGCGGTCAGTGAGTCCAGTTTTCTGCCTCCCCGTGGCTAGCCTGCTGCTGGACCGGACCATGTGACATGCGGGTTGTTGGCGTGATACTGTCCGGCGAGTAATTCCGCGTTACTCGAATTCCTTGTCCTTCTAAAAATAAGTTCGCCTTGTTGCTGATATTTTGTTCTTTTCGGAAAATAATTCCTGACGCTCATGTGGCGACTCCAGATTTCTCAGGAAAGGTTTATAAAGAGGGAGATCATCTTTTCAAGTTGAGAGCGGCTTGCACTTGTCTTCATTGAGAACATCGAAGTTTGTGAACATTCGTCTAAACTAGATTTCCTTATGTGCCGTCAAAAGAGAAGGCAGTTTTATGATAGACTGCTACAGACATAGTACTGTGAGGGAACTATGAGGGAAAAAAAGGAAGAAATATTCAACTGTGAGTGCCTTGAGCAGACTTTAGAGAGGTTGAGAAGATTTCGACCGAATATAGTTTTCGAT